CATTTTAACACTAGTTAGGCACTTTATGCATAAGCAAATTATCAGTTAAAATGTTACGTTTATTTTAAATTTTACTGTATTTTATTTCATTTCAATTCAATTCAAGTTTATTTGTATAGCGCTTTTGACGATACAAATCGTTGCAAAGCAACTTTACAGAAAATTATGTTTCTACAATATTTAGTGGTAGCTTATCAGTGGTGACTGTCAGTTAATGTACATATGGCAAAAATGTATGGAAAAATCAATTAAAGACGTAATCAAACAGACGATGAACACTATTAACAGCAATTTAATATTTTTTATTTCATCAGTCATTGACAGGTAACACTTTAATAAACATTTGCACAAATAAACTTGAATTCAACAATACTATTAATATTTAATTGATATTTCTAGCATTTAGTTATTATATTTAAATCATTTAATTAACATTTAATTTATTTTAATAATAACGCACAATCATTTACAGCTTTTCATCTGCTGGTTATTAATCTTAAATGTTAATTTCTACATATACTAACAGCTGTTTAATACTGAAAGTGTAAAAATTCATGTCAACATGCAAACTAACAGTTAACAAAATTATACATTTTTTTATTTTTTTTATTTAGTCTTAATTTAAAATGAAATATCAAAACTATTTTTTTATTATACATCAATGACAAATAATTAATAACATGCAAATGTAAATCAAACAAGATTACTAAATGCTGTAATAAATGCATGTTTATTGCCATTTCACAACACTTCACTTATTAACTAAAACTAATGTACAGAACCTTACTGTAAAGTGTTATGTAAAAACCGACTGTCGAAGCTGTAGCCTGGAGGGCTAACCTCCATGCATTCTTTGACTGAGCCATTGTGCTTGTGTAGGCAGCATGAGTTTGACTCCAGCTTGCAACTTTTTCTGATCTCGTTTCCTACTCTCCCCATAATCATACCTTATCCTATCATTCACAATTTTTTATCAATGTGGCAAAAAAGGCCAAAACATTTTGAAAACATTTGAATTTGTCTTTTTAAAATACACAGGGGCGCTGAGACGGTGACTCGGCACAAAGTTATCGTCTCTTAAATTGCACCAGAATTTCTCGCTCTCCAACTTTTCATTTGTGCACCAGTTGTTTTGAACTAGTTTCTGAAAATGCCCCACAAGCTTCCAACATCTGCACACTCAATAGCAATCAGCGAAGCGTGCAGCTCGCGGTCTTAAGAGGCTCTGTCCATCATGACGCTGGCACCGTAAACCTATTTCGGTGGAGAGCTTTTAGAGCAGACTGCGGGCCCTGCATCGCTGCAATCGCCAGAGAACACTCATCGGCGGGGTGACAGGGGTGCATCTCTTATCAGCAGAGAAAGCCTATTGTCCAACCATGGGAGAGCACAGAAAGCAATTAGCTAGCAGCCCCCCTGAATAATAATGCGAGTTCATTACCTATTATCAAAGCCAGTGAATTAGCTCAGTGTCTCCAGCAGTGGGGTGTGAAATCCTCTCGCCAGCTTTATTTGCTCATTTTAATTGCCCAAGCTTGTCTGACTAAGAGATTTCACTTTTATGCACATAAAAAGGTAACAACGTTCAGCTAATGAAACATAGATGATAGATTAAAGAAGTTCACTTTGGAAACATTAACATGAAAAGCATCTGATTTGAGCAAAGTAGGTTAGACGCGGGGGCTCGTCTGGTGTTGCGTGCAACCTGCTTGTCAAGTGCTTTTTGTACATCAGTCAAACAGATTACAAACAATAGGAATTAACTTCTAAAAGACAGGTAAGCTTGCAGAGAACTAAATCTAGCACTGCATTTCATGGGCTGTCATCTGAGCTGGAAAAATCTCTTCCAATGAAAAAATTCAGAGTACACCGAGCCAATATCTTCCTTGCGATTCATAAAAATGGCTGCTAAACATGATCTAAAGAAAACAAGACTTGGAAAAAAAGTACATCATGTTAACACTTTCTTTTCCTAATAAATCCTCAAAGAACCCATAAAGAGGAAGTTTTAAAGTGTTTTTTAAAGGAAGTGTTTTTAAAAGGCACAATGCTGTTTTAGATAAATAACCACAATAAGCTTGTCTTAAAGGGGTCATATGATGCGATTTAAATTTTTCCTTTCTCTTTGGAGTGTTATAAGCTCTTGGTGTATAAAGAAGATCTGTAAAGTCGCAAAGTCTAAAGTCTCAAATCCAAAGAGATATTCTTTATAAAAGTTAAGAGTCAACCACGTCTACCTAAAACGGCTCATTCTAACACACGTCTTGTGTGTCTACGTCACGATGTGAGAACATTTGCATAACGCTGCCCAAATGTTCACGCAAAGAAAGAAGGCGTAACTTTTATTCTCGCTGTAGTATTGTTGTTGCCGCCGCCGCCATGTCGTGAAGGCGCTGTGTGTTTCGTTGTGAAAGCGAAACTACTTTGTTTGGCCTTCCAAAAGAGGACGATATCCTCTTCGTCATGCCTAGAGCTGATCCGTGCTGGTCGCTGAGGAAATACATCAACTTCGCGCTGTGGATCGCCGGATCGGCTTTCACCGTGGACGAAGCGGAGTCCAGCCCGGGATCATCACATGTGGTTGCCACAAGCCCACCGGCCGCTACTTCATCGAATCTGCCGGCTGCCGCTCACTCTAACCCGCCGTGTGTGATGCTGTGTGTTTCGTTGTGAAAGCGCAACTACTTTGTTTGGCCTTCCAAAAGAATACACAACTAGAAATCAGTGGTTAAGTTGTATTTACAACACTGTTCCAGAACATTTCAACCCAAATATTCAGATGTGTGCAGCACATTTTATGGAGGACCGTTTCCTGATCCTGGGA